GTATAAATATTTCTGTTGAATATGTCGCAGAAAAATATGCAGCAAAACGTGGATGTTGAAAACAAGTGTACATACGCACATATTAACAACAAAAACGGGAATCAGCAATGCGACCGACAAAGCAACTCGCTTGGACTGTGCGATCCGAAAGTGGATAATTTTTTTAAAAATGATCCTTAGTGCCATGAAGTTAGTTTGAAATTGACAACGACATATTCAATCTACTGAAATTTCACAGGCAGCAAAGTCACTAATAAAGATCAAGGCTCTGCCTTAACTGTCGGCAGAGAGCAGTGTTAACTTCTAGTGACTTGATAAACAATAAGCTAAAGACGTAAGTCGAATTGTAATACACTAATAAGTAAACAAGTAAAAATACTATAGTGAACCACGGCCATCCCTTGAATATATTGCAACACACTATTGTTAGCCATATAACGACTTTTGAAAATGGGACATTTTATGGGAAATGGACGAAAAAGACCACCACGATCCGGAACGTTTTCAATGGCGTTGATTGTCCTTGAACCTAAACTCGTCAATGTATTAAATAAATGTCATCAAAATATGTCAAAAATTGTGGGCTATAAGATGGACATAGAAAAATAAGAGAGACAGACGGACAAACAGACACCTTAAATCAATTGAGAAAGTGATTTTCAATTGATCGGTGTCACGAGAAGGAGAGCTTATCTTAAGTCCTTCTATGCAAACTTACTCTACCCTTATATCAAAGATTGTGTAGGGTACAACAAATATATGTTATAAAGAAGGTTTTCAAAATGAAGCTTTTATTTTAATGAATTAAAAAGTAGAAAATGATTTTTTTTTTCTCGGAAAAAAGTTTATTAACGAAAAATGTCCTTTTATATAATTTTCACTTCTTACTTAAAATTAAAAATCTCTCTTATATTCCAAGAAAAAAATGAAAAGTCTCTATACTTCCGTAAGCTTTTACCTTTTTATTGTTAACTTTTCTGCTTTCATTCTGTAATTAATATTTTAATCATTAAAAATTGTTCCATAAACAATAATTACATGGAAAAGAAAGTCAGATAAAATCATGTGTAACATTAGTTTCATTGAAATTCTATTTTCAAACAAAATAAAAAAACACCTCAATATGATGACCGCTAACGCAAAAGCAAAACACATGACTACGTTTTTATTGCATTTCTCTCTCGTGTGCTTTTCTCTGTCAATTATTTGCATGTTAAGTGGCTATCTAATCAACATGCACTACCTACATTACCCTACACACTATATAATATAACATATACATGCTTTTACACATGCACACATAACATATATATATACATGTACATATATATTAAATACATATACATTATACATATACTTAGATATACGTCCACATATACATATATACATATATATATATGTATATATATGCACACATATACACATATTAAATACACATATACATAGTATACATATAGATACACACATATATATATACACATATATAAACATATATACATGTATATACACACATATATGTGAACACATACAAGTTGCTCGCTTACGATTTTTATCCCCTGAGCGGAAATTCAACTAAATCATCAAAATTTATATATTTGATGAAAATATTTTTTACTTAATTCTTTTTGAAATGAATTAAATATTTTTTTTTTTTTCATATTTTATATAAATATTAATATTGACTTAGTCGAAAAACCTTTTTCTCTCCATAAAAAAAAAAAAAAGACTGAAGCAGTTAGGGTTATTGCAGGCAACAGACGCTCTAAATTAAAGTTTTTCATTAAAAGCAATAGAATACAAAAAGCAAATATAAGACAAAGTATTTTTACAAATTAATTCTCTAAAATTCGTATTCAAGGATAAAACAAATAAACTCAAGATAGTTGACACAGGATTAACAATTATTAGTAAGAACGCGGAAAGGAAACTAATTAAGCTCATGCTATTCCCATTACAGAATCACAAATGTTTGCATCGACGAGTGTCAAAGGGCGTATTTATTTTAAATGATCAGCGGTTGAATATCGAAATCAGTACGTCAGTCCATTTGTGAAAACCACTATTGCCACGACGTACTTTTCTTTGAGCTGAAAGTTCTCAGCTCAAGTTCAATGTGGATAACACAAAACCAATTAACTAGTATATCTGTCCAACTACGAGCTATAGAAGAATAAATTTCAGTTCACTTTTATTTCTTATAATTATCGTTGCACCACGGAAAAAGCTGAACTATATCGACAATTGCTATGCGTATGGAATTTAAATCTTCCACTTTAGAGCTTTAAATATAGTCACAAATTGCCCCTAAATAATATCTCAATACTAAATCCAAAACTCAATTAATCAATTAGAAAATCAAAACCAGCCAACCCGATTATTGTGTGTATCATTAGCTATTAAACGCTGCACGGATTGCATTAAATTACATGAGAGCCTTCACAATATACATATAGAGCATAGAGTTGATTGATTTTTGGCTGAACTTGTAATAGCGTGCTTGTTTAACGTAATTTCTGGGTATCAAAATGTCAAATCAAAATATTATTAAACTTTAGAAGCTGTCCATGTCTTTTGCAGCAGATAAAATCTCTTAACAAAGCCATAGAAACATGCATTGCTAATCTTTTAAAAAAAAAAGAAAAGGAATTATTTCAAAAAATACACATACCTATCTTGCTGCATATTTCAGTGAGTTTTTTATCCTCTTTTACTTATACTTATCATATCATATCAATTATGACTTAACATTTACGTTCCATTGCATAGTTTTATGCGCAGCGTACAAAATTTATACGGTATACATTTAAGCGTAAATAACAAAATTGTCCGCTTTTATGATTAACATTTAAGATATTTGTGGCATGCTTTTAGGCGCCCTTAGCAAATATTTTTACTCCAGGAAGGTATACTCATATGTGCAAGCTTAAGATGCTATCTCAAAATGGCAAGAGTAATTTATGTTGAGCAACTATGAATAGAGTAATTTAAAAAAATTTAGTAAGAGTCGTTTAATTGGTGATTTTAAACAATAAGTTCGTCTTTGGCGACAGCACATCCAAGCAGTTGGTGAGATTCCAGAATTAACAGAGATAACCGGGGCCGAGAATTGAATATTTCGACTTCACTCAGGCGGACTCTCGCGATCGGCAAATAGTTCTTGTTTTTCAAACAAATTCTTAAAAAATAACTTTGTGCGAGCAAAGCTTTGCAGACTATTCACCAGAGGCCCTATTTCATACGATATGCTTTATGAATCAAGAAACAATTTACAATATTTATTGATAAACCCCTTGTCCCTATCAAAGGTGGAGAATGAAAATTTTAAAATAAGTTGGCTGAGGTATTTTACTATGTGTAGGAAATTTTGCTTATCAGAATCAGATCAAGGCAAGCAAGCAAAATGCTTCATGTGGCTTCTTACTATTTCGAATACCGCACAGGCGATGTAAGCGGACTTCTTGAATATTCTTCAGCAGTTAGCAAGAAAGCACAGAGTAAAATATATAATGAAGTGGACAAGATGCATTTAAGACATAACATCGGCATAGTAAGATTTTCACAAAGGAAGCAAAGCATTGGTTGCTTATAAAAACTTATGCAACCTGTTGGAAACGTGCCGACTTGATAAAAACGGTTTACCATATTTCATTGGAAAGACTTAAGTCTCAAAAGATATCGTCACGATAATGACATTTTCACATTCCTTGTTGAAGAGTAACCGACATCTAAGCAACTCTTAGCTATCAAATATTTTATTTAAGAAAACCAACGGCAGAACTTTTCCATCAACCTAGTACGTCGTTGATTAAGAGATAATTTTAGCTCCATCTTGAATACGCAATAAAGGACATAACGCAGCTAAGGTGTTAAGTGAGTCCATTGTGTCTATGCTTAGACTGAAGTAGACGCTTTTCACCAACATAAAAAGTCCAAGTGAAAAGAGAGACTAAATGTATTTTTAATCAAAGAAAGTTATTGTACCGTTATATATTACGAACATATATTAGGGAGACATTATGTTGGCCCAAAAATGTTCTTATATTACATAAGTGAAATAATTACTTTTACCGTCTTCGTTAACGCAAGGTATAAATAACATAAACACGTCTATCTTGAACAGAATAGAGACCATTCCCTTGAGATTAAAAAGCAATAAGACTTATCCTGTATATTATTATATTGGGTCGAATCATAAGTAACTTCCGCTTTTTTATCAATTATTTATTTTGTTTTCATTGAATAACAAAATCATATTCATTTAACAATTGATTGCTACACCTCCTGTTTGTTAGCGCGTATTTTCTTTAAAAGGTTGCCGTCAAAGTCGGAAGGAAGTCTCGCCTTTTAAAGTCGTAGCTCCAGAAAGTAATTTTGCAGATCAATTTCTAATTGCCCGACCAGTTATCAGTCCCTCACTCTATGCGCCGCATATTTTTTTAGCTGTCGCCTTAGCGCTATTCCCGCCTTCTATAAATTCCTGTAGAAGTCGAATCTGCATTTTTTGACTCTCCATTTCAGAGGTAAAAAAAAAACAGTTGACAATTAAATGTAGCATATGCCACATAAAACAATTGACAGTTGAAGACTGACTGAATTCTTCTCTATATAGTGGAAATAAAAACTCATTTATTTCGGTGACTCATAGTAGGTAAGTACGACCAATAGATTCTACTCAGCTACATCAGAAGTTACTTATGACTCCACTTAAAATTTCGCTTTTTGCTAACAAATATTCAATGGGGGCAGGCTATGCATGCGTTTTTTTTTTCTTTCTCTTATTAAACTGTTAACGTGGTCCTACGTACATACATTCATATCTTTTTCGCTGCCTACATAGAAGAATTTTTACATTTCATAAAATAAAATGCTAGGTAGTGCATGTAAAACGATTGTTAATATTAGGTGGATTTCATTTTAATATAAATTTAAGTTTCTTTTTTTTTTTCTACCAGCTCTAATAACAGAACAGACCTCCCTGTCATAATAAGCGGATTACTTACGTCACGTATTTCCTTAATTTTCTGACCACCTTTTCCAATAATACAACCGGCCAAACTCTGATGAATTAATAAACGAACATCGTATTCATCGTCACGCTAAAAATATTTTACAAAAAAAATAAAAAATAATAATAATAATTTTTTATATACATTTAAGTTTTTGTGTTTTTTCTCGTACCTCTTCATAGTATTTCAACATTTCCGTAATAATTTGAAGAGTTGCTTCCAAATCGGCCGATATAAGTATGGTTCTATTTTGTTATAAAAATATATGAAAAAGAAATTAAAAAAAGCAAATACATATGCATATTATTAATTGAAAATATTTATATCGACAAATATGAAAAAAAAAAAAAAAAAAAAAAAAAAGAGAAAAATTCTCCTACTATTGATAGAAAATTATTTCCTCACCCGTAGAGAAAAGCATACAAAAGTTTTTTTTTTTTTTTTATAGTATTTCTAAAATGATGCAAAATATGATGTTTTTTTTTTTTCCAAAATTACTCTGACCGAATTGAGAATATGAAAAGAAATATCCAAAAAACTGTGTATAGTTCTGTGGTTAAAGGAAACCGTGTACAGTTTTGTGGTTATTTATAAGGTGTCGGTTAAAAACAATGAATTTTCGGCATTAAACCACAAAGAAGAGACGAGGAAAGAGAGCAAGAGACAAAGAACGACAGAGAGAGAGAGACGAGAAAGAGAGAAAAACAGGAATCAGCAGCGACTAGAATTAAATGAATTTTGATGCTTCTTTAATTTTGACCATTTACCAATGGTTGAACGCTACAACAACAGGTGGTGGTTTAATTCATTATTATGGAATAAATGTGATATATAAGAAGAAAATATGGATGAGAATGTAATATAAAAATCAAAGGTTAAACGAGACCGTAATGATATAAATTTTCTTTTTCTTTTTCTTTTTTTTTTTTTTTTTGTGTTATCCAAGTTTGTTAATTGGGTTAAAAGCAAGAAAAAAAAAAAAAAAAAGAGAAGATATTATGAGATTAAATATTATCCAGAAAATTGTTCGACATTCAATTTTAGGAGTTTTAGTTTAGTGATTTGGTGAATATTTAAAAAGAAACTTTCATTATTTTAAGAATGCAACAAGAAATGCTTTGAAATGCGTATTTATATTGGTAAGTACTTTTAGGCTGAATTGCGTTTATTAAAAGAAGGCCTACTTCGAGGAGAACGAAACAAAAGAACTTATTTGAAACGAAAGTAGAACTCGTTGTGAAAAGTTAAAATGCAATAGAGAACGTTTTCAGAAAGAAATCTATCAAAGATTATTTGATCCTCCTCTCTTTAGAATAAATTACAAAGAGCTAAGAAAAAAAAAAAAAAAATTATATATGTATATATATTAACTTAGACCTCTAAATGAGCATTTTTTTTTTTTTCTTACATATTTTTAATTAATATAATGTATGCATAGTAAAATGTATAGTACAAAATAGTAAAAAAAAAAGAAAAGGTTTTGTTTAATAGATATTTGTTTACCGTTCGGGGCCTTGGGAATCGTCGACTGAGACAGTGGCTTTATACTGCAGATTTTAGGTGGCATTATATTCAAATATATGTGATGGACAACACACACACACACACAGAGTTTACCAAACAATTTCAAAAATTGAAAAATTGTTGGCACGATTATCATTTTATCATTTGTATTCCAGGTCAGAGGTACGCAGTACAATATTTAATGGGCACAACAGGCAGGCACAGGCGGGCGGGCGGGCGGTCGGTCGGTCGGGCAAGCGGGCAGGCGATTGGTCGGTCAGATAGGCAGGCAGGCGAGCAGTAGAGATTTTATTCACACATATACATAATTGGTGGCGATTGGTGGCGGTGTTCATTCAGGCGGTCGGTCGGGCGGGCGGGCAGGCGGGCGGGCAGTCGGTTGGTCATTTATTTTATGATGATGTTCAACAAAAGAAGACACCGAAACCACCACCACATAGGAGTGGTCGATTTGTTGAATGTGTTGTTTTGGTCGCATTTAGCATTTTTAGTTGCACAGAAACCAAAGAACCCATACCAATTCAATTCACATAATGTTTGGTCATTAATGGTCAATTGATTTGTTGGACGTGACGGTGTTGGGTGGTGGGCAGATTTTTTTTGTATTTTTTTTTTTTTTTTAAGTTATTTATTTTTGTAATTTAAATTTCAGTTTTGTTTCATATGTTGTTTATATATATTTGGGTTTAATTTTATGGTCATTAGACGCGTTGTTTTGGTTATGGGTTTTCGTTTAATACATATTTTATAATGTTTTTTATTTTTTATTTTTTTTATTTTTTTTTTAATTTTTTTTTTTTTTTTTTTTTGGGTGGCGAGAAAAGAGAGAGAGAAAGAAGAAAATTTGTCAATTAAATTTTAGGTTAATTGCAAGTTTTAATGTAATTCTAAATTAAATTTTTATTTTACTAAAATTATTAATAAGCTAAAGGCAGTTTTTATTTATTTTTTATTTTTTTCTGTAAATTGATGCATTTTTACCAGGCCTAACACACCAAGCTTAGAATTATTATTTAAAGAAAATTAGATTAAAAACAAAGATGAATTTTTTTTATTTTTTTTTTGAAAACAGCGAAAATGATTTAAATAAATTTTACTGTAATTTTTGATGGTTTGCTAAGATAAGAGGTGAGATTTGAAGTAAAAGCATTGATTAATCTTTTTAAGGAAAAAAAAAAAAATATATATATATATATATATATAATAGATTATGTTCTGAGGTGTTTCGCTGGCCTAAACACTATTATGAGTTATAAAAATGAAAAATTTTGAAATAAAAAAAAAAAAAAATCATAATTTCTGATAATTTTTAAAACAATCAACTATTGAAATACATTAAACGATTGCGTTAACTTAATATAATTTATACCTGAGTACGCATTTTTTGTATATGCTGACCGCCCTTGCCAATGATAGCGCCAGCAATCTATAAACATTTTATTAAAACGCATTAATTAAATAATAACTTTTTGTTGCATACTTTTTATGATTACAAATGAAATAAAAATACTACATACATTACTGGGTATTAAAACACGAACTTGATCATCATTCCGACGGTTGCGTTTATCAGGATGGGGGCCATCATCATTGCTATGATTATCACGTTTGCTCTTCATTCTTTCTGAAATTTAAATAAGAGAGAGAACGAACGGGAAAGAGAGAGAGAGAGGAGAAAAGATAACAAAGAACAATTAATATAAATATATAAATATAATAATAAAAAACGGAATCGAATACTCTATAAATAATAAAAAGAGATTTTTGTCTTTTTTATATCCTCTCTGTCAGGGTTTCATATAAATTGCATGTAGAGTAAATGAAAACAGTCTCGGTAGGTATCCAAGCGCTTTCATCAATTCGAATTTTATTATTACTTCTACCTCAATAAATTCTCTTCACTGTTTCACTTTTCACTACATCAAAAGATAATTGCCAAAAAAAAAAAAACTCTTCCTGCAGTTCAGCGGTTGTTTTGTTAACTATATAGGCGGCGGTCAGAATTCATATGTTAAACATCCTGAAAAACAGTGCGTCATAGCAGCGCTTTTTCTATCGTTTTCGTCTCTACTTTAAACCGGAGGATTGTTTGAAGTATTGGAAGCGTAGACTGGTTAAGAGCATGTCTTAAGGGTAAACACCACAAAACACTTTGAATATTATATATATACATATATATATATATATATATAGTTTTTGCAGAGCATAAAATACTCTTTCTGGCTTAAAACTTCGATGTCGCGAGTTAAGTCATTACTTGGAACTATTCGTAGCTGTAACCTCAATAGCTGTTGTTTCTTAAGACTTTAAGATCGTTTTTCTTGAAGCTATGTTTCTCAGATTGGTCATCTCAGGTCTCAAATGATTGATTGCCGAAAGGATAAGACTCGCAAATGCCAAGTCACGTTTAGAATCTCATTACGGTAGAACAATACTTTGCAGTATAGCCACAATTTCGAGCTACTTAAGCTTATGATGTTCTCTCGTTAGTACTTCAAGCCTAAAAATGTTGTCAACTGTTTACTGCGAACTTAGGAGCTACTTTTGATCGATGTTCTTCTCTATAACATCGTAGTTGAACTCTTCCATCTTAAATGTTGCTTGATCCGGCTTAATTTATATTGTAGCCAGTAAAGAAAAAATAAATAAATAAAATAAAAAGATGGTGTTTGGAGTATTGTTTGCGCTTTAACCCACTCGATTAATACCCGATTTTGGGCAAATTGTTTCAAAAGTATAAAAACATTTTAATGAAACCGAAAGCGTGTGGCGCAGGGTATATTTGAATCTGCTGACATATGCAATACTCAGAAGGATTTGGGTTAGGTTTTCTTTCTTCTGCATTGGTCGTTTCAGAATCGTTTTCTGAATCACTTTTTAAATCGATATATACTTGTCTGTCCATCTGTCCGTCTTGTTTTCTCGAACTCCATTTCGGAATTTTTGAGATATTTTGATAAAATTCGACACAGGGATACGTTTTGGCCCAGGGACAATAGCTATTGAAAATGGTTGCGTTCGGAACTCTTTTTCCCACACTTACCATATAAAGACTTATTTTGAAAAGTCACTACATGAATACCTGCAGAGTGGTGGTGTAGGATATTTATTGATGTGCCGTGACCCGCTAGATAGTGCTTTTGCTTGTTTTAAAATCAATATTTTCAAATGACCCTGCATGGCTCAGTGGAAAAATTTATTATGAAGCTACAGTTGATATTTGAAGTCAACCAATTGATTGAGATTTGAGGTGTTAAAAATTAAAACTGCTTAGAGGTGGAGTCAAGGAGCTTGTTGCAAAGTGCATGTGAAAAATAGGATTTCAATGCAGTGCTTGGTCTTCTGTAAGTACGTTCGCGAGAACGGCTCGTTATTTCGCGTTCACAAAGGAGAATTACAACTTTATGACGAAGAAGAATTGTAATTAGATTTTCTGAAGAGCTTTACAAGAAAGTGAAAGAATAAAACGCTTCTTCTTCTTATATATTAATTTTAACTACTACGGGCATTAGTTCCTGCCAGAGTTTTGAACTCTAGTTGCAAAAATCCTAAACTTATAAGGAATCGTTCATCATAGTGCAAAGTTGCCGTCAGAAAAAAGAAATCTTTATCTTAACCTTCAACCCTCTACTATATATGTTAATTTGATGCCTGTGATGGAGTGAATTGTGAATTTTAATTTTAGCAATGTTGGCCGGGTATATTAAAATAGAATCTAACTTCCATAATGATGTGTTGCTAACTTCTCCATAATATTTTTTTTATTTTTTTTTTTGTATAATTTATGTTAATATATTATTTAAAAATTCTTCAAAGAAAAATTCCTACATAATTAAATGAAAAAAAAAGAAAAAATTCATAAAAGTTTGCTAACTTGATTGCACACTACTAGTGTATGATAGCACACATATTTGTTCAGTTTTCATTCATTTCACATACAAGACTATATATAAGTATATTAAATTTGTCCTATTCTAGGTATCTAACAATTTCAAAAAACATATCTCTACATCTGGCGGATGTTAGCAAATGTCCTGGACTGCTTATGCCCGCTCAATTCTTTTCTACCTACCTACCTATGATCTACTTCGATTTTTCTTTGTAGTATAAGCTGCAGCTAATGACATTTTTGATTTCGCATTATGTGGCCAAAATAAGATATTCTCCCGTGTCTTATACCTGTTAATAGTGTTTTTTGATCGATTTTTTAAAGTATTTCCGTATTTGTTACTTGTTCGGTCCAAGTTATTTTCACTAATCTACCATACTGCCATATTTCGAAAGCTTCTTTTTGTCAGCTAACTTCAACGACAAGATGTCCATTACTTAGAGCAAAGTAGGCCAAACGCGCGATTTTACAAGGCGCCACAAGTTCACCACTAAGATTTTATGTAATACTTTGCTCATAAAATAAGACCAATACTCAAGTCACACTGATCCCATATGTATAGAATATCAGAAATATTTTTAGCTTTCTAAAATAGTAACATGATGACAGGCATCTGTGCCATTCTCTTGTGTATGACACAAGTAGTACACTTTCGGATTTTTATATGGAGGTTGCACTAAATTTTGTTTCCCAAATGAATTTTAATATGCAAAATTTGTTTAGGATGTTGTAGAGAGCCTTTTGTGGGCAGACTTTATCGTAAAGAAATGTTTACAAATTGTACAAACGGTTCAAAGAAGGCTGAAAGAAGGTTGAGGCAATTAAGGAATTTTGACATTTTCAACGGATCAGTCAACGACATTATAAAAGTTATTTTTGGCCTGAAACGCATCAAATCAAAAACACTCAATTTCTGCATTAGTTTGTCCAGACTATTTTGTTAAAAATTCCCTAACCGCTATAATCACTCGATTTAGCCACATGTGACTTCTGGCTCTTTACTAAACTCAAAAGATCAATCCGGTAGCAATGTTTTGATTTGATTAAGGAGATACAAGCTGAATCGCAGAAAGCTTTGAGAAAGTCATCCCGTGAGTCGACCGTAACACCTGTTTTGAGGATTGGAAAAGCCTTGACTTGGGTGGTATTGGAGGAGGGGTTACTTCGAGTGCGCCGACATAGATTCCGAGTAATAAATAAATTTGAAAAAAAAAATTCACATACAATTCAATTGGTCTTAATTTTAGATCACAGTAGCAATCTTCGCCCCCAAGAAAAAGACTCCAATAAATTTTGCTTTATCTTAAAAGTAAATCAAGTAGACTCCCTGCAGAAGAAAACAGTGCGCGTTTTACAATTTTTTTCTTTTTTCATAGAGATTGTAAGTAAGAAAAGATTCGGTTTGATTCTTTTTTCTTTTTTTTTTTTTTTTTTTTAAATAAATTTTTTTTTTTTTTTTTTTGTTTAAATTTGTACAAATTAAAGGTGATGTAGGTTTTGCAACCTACAAAATACCAAATAAAAAGAAAACACCTGCAATATGTTATAAACACAATGCTTTACACTATGTGCGGTAGTTGGATGAGTTGAACAGATAAGCACCACCAACCAGCCAATAAAATAACGAAGTAAACAAACACTGCCTCGCCATTGTACTACAAATATTAAAAGTTAGCTAGAAACGTGTAAAAGCTTTAAAAAAAAAAGCAGCAGCAACAACAACAACGACGACAACAACATTTCCATATTCAAATGATGCACAAATAGTAAGCAATGCATGGGGTATAGCAGTCACTGATATAGGAATATTTCATTAATAATAAAACAGAAAAAAATACAAGAAAAATTTGCAATGCATTCCATGCTGAAAATTACTGAACGATGCAATTGAAGAAAAATGATATTACCCCGTGGAGCGAAACAAAGGTATTTATATGGAAATTATCAGACTTTGAAGTTATTCGAGATGCGTTGGTTCAGTGGAGCCATTACTGCAATTTAGCCGCAAAGAGCGCTCGCTCTTCTCTTCCGCTCATAGAAATCTGATCTTTGACATGTGAAATCCTTCTTGCTTCTTTCACAAACCGCATGCAGATCTATTAATCAAATCATTTTACCTTTCTATTTCCAAAAAAAAAAAAAAAAAAAAAAAAAAAAAAATTTCAAAACAAAAATCCATCGAAAAACTCTTAAAACTCTTTAAAGCGTGCGTTCTGTATGTGATAAGCTTATTACGTATAGCGATAATGATTTGTGAAAACTCGAAATTTTATTTCGTTCGCCTCCACAGGTTTTTTTAAAAATCGATTTCGACAGGCTTTCACTGACAAAAGTCGACCACAACTTTAACTTTGATAGTTTAGTAGGTATTGAGAAATTTTAGAATTGCTTGCATGTATTTTGATCAGCGACATTTACTGGCGAAAATGGCAAAGTACCAATATACACGATAGTTAAATTTGAGTTGATTCGCATGATTTTAACCTTTCTCTACATAAAATAAAAATTTTCCATTTAGCGTTATTGAGTTATTCAGTGTATACGAGACGCTAATCATGAAATACTCAAAATTGCATTTTCGACAGAAATCTGCTGCCGAAACCCATCGAACAATTTTAGAAACTTATGGCGTTATTGCTCCATCATATTCCAATTGTCGTTCTTGGTTTCAACAATTTGAAAGTGGTGACAATGAATGGCCTTGCGGATCAAAACAGTTCGAAGACAGTAAAAGA